TCAGCCATGCTACTTCCCACTCATACTTTGCTTCCTTTACACCCACATATTGTCTCGTGGATGAGGCCTGGTTATGGATTCATTCAGGCTTCCATACCATGTGACCTACAATGGCTCTGCCATCACTTCTGCCTTCTGAACCATTCTCCATGCCCAGCCCACTCCTCTACTTACCTCTTCTTTGAAATCTTTCTCATTTCTACTCTTCACCTTGCATGTACTACTCGCAGCCCTTCCTTGACAATGGAAAGTTTTGTGAAGAATTAGTAAAACAAATTTTGTATATACTAAGTGATCTAAATATTATCAAATAGCATTATCAAAAATCCTCTGGGTTGCAAAAGAATAAAAATAATGAACAACTTGTTTTTACTTTCTTCTTTTATGAAGGAATTTAGAATGAATCTCAAGGGACTATGGATGTAAAATTAGGGATGAATTAGTGGAGCTGGCAAGATTGCATCATACTGATAAGCAACAGGAGCAAGGAACAATGCATTGTGGGGGGAGGCAGAGGATTGCCAGCTAGACCCTATATTCAGAGTTCCACATGGAATGACAATTAAGGACTACTGCTTAATATTAGTTATGAGAGATCATACAATGCATAAGCTTATTGCTTGAGAAGGATTTAGTAGAAAAGGATTCCTCCTTCATCTTACTAAGACTGAAAGATTCTTAGTTGACTTATGGGAAAGTGGAAAGGGCTTGAAAATCCATAGAAGTGGAAAATGATAATCAGAAGCAAAAAAGGAAAATATGCAAGATATATACAAGATATATATGTATGTGTTTAACATGTATTTAAACATGTATATGTTTAATCTCTAAAAATATTTTAGAATAGAAATTTAGAAATAAGATTTATGCTTAAATGCAATGACATAATTTATGTTTGTATAACAAATAGGTAGCAAATAGAATAATTTTACTTCCCAAACTCATTATGAACGGATATCATACGACCTACAGCACAATTCAGTGGACTCTATATGCCATTGTCACTGTTGGAGGCTGGAGTAAAGTACTCTGGAAACACCTGGAAATTAAGTCACCCTCTGAGAGTTAAAATAGTGAAATCAAAACATAATGAATGAGAATGAAAACTTGCAAAACTACCTTAAAAGAATGTTTTCCAACTAAACATGATGTGATTATATCCTGTCTGAAGGTACCAATATAACCAAAAAAGAATATGTTCATCAGAAAGAGAATTGGTTGGATATTTGAGTTTCTTTTTTTTTTTTTAAAGATTTTATTTATTTATTTGAGACAGAATGAGAGAGAGAGAGCACATAAGAGGGGGGAGGGTCAGAGGGAGAAGCAGGCTCCCCGCTGAGCAGGGAGCCCGATGTGG